AACAACCCCCAAATTATAGAACACTGGTGAATGTCAGAGCCTTCGTAAAAACTGCATAAGTGGGTTTTAAGAGGAAATTTCTATGTAAGAACAGTTGCTGAATGAGGTCCATTGACTTCCATTCAAAGTCAAGAGTGTTTTTTCCTGTAAAGCCATTTTAGAAATGCAAACTTTGACAGTGACTGTATGAAAAACGTATAACAAATGGCACCTGATAAATCTTGAGCTAGATTTTGATTATTGTATGATCACTTAAGTAACTCTTTGTGTATGTTGCAGATTGTCCAGGAGTCTCCATTCCTCACCATGGACCTGCTGGAGTCCTGTTTCCCCTACGTGCTGCTCCGGAACGCCTACCACGCCGTGTACAAGCAGTCCGTTTCCGCGTCCGCGTGAGTCGAGCGTCGCTAAGAGACGTGGGCCGGCTTCATTCCACACACTTCTGTAGGACCATCCGGTCTTACAGTCTAACCAGTGCAAGACTTCATATGGGATCAAACCTTCTTCAAAACTCTAAAAGAAACAAAATAGAAAGGATAAAAAAATAGAGAGCAAGCTGTTTATTGACCAGTTACAATAATCTTCGAGTTTGGTTGTCAGGGACTAGTAACACTAAATATAATTTTTGATCAGATTTTGTTTTGTTTGGGTTTTTTTTTGTTTTGTTTAGGGTGGGGGGGGGGGGATTTGCGGTTTTGGGGGAAGGAAGAAAAAAAAAACACTAAAGTACTTGGATGTGTGTGTTGGTTTGGTGGGGAGGGGCGGGTGGGCGGGGCTGAATTACTACAGAAATAACTACATGATGCTAAAATACTCGTTAACATAACAGATGCCTCTATGAAACACAGTGATTCTTTTTTTCGATGTCGTTTAGCTCTAATCTGTGTGGGTTACCGCGTGCATTCTTTCTCTAGCTCTGTGAATTCTTTTACTTTTCTTTTGTTTTTTTGTTTTTTTTTTCATGATCACACTCTTTTGTGTTCCTTTGACACGTTTGCCAAAATAATGATATGATATATAGCATCTCATTTGAAACGAAACAGAATTGTGGGTAACTACATGTTATAAAAGCAACCTATAGTGTTGTTTGTATAAAGCATAGTATAATTTTTTAACTAACTTTCATGATGCCTGTCGGCATTTAGATTCCATTGTAACTTTCTGTGTGGTATGATAAACATTCTTACATATTTATTGAATGTTTATAAGTTGTTCTTCCCCCTCTGACCCCTTATCAATTTTATATGTTTTGAATTTTTTGGAAATGACCATGTATCTTCCATAACATAAATAAACATTGGGTCATATGCGCTCTGTGGTCTCGCGTTCTGTTTCGAGAATTTAGTACCCTGAAAAAGTCTGAGATGCTTCATTATTAAATTTCGAGTCAAAATGGCTTTTAAGTATGTAAATTCGTTTTTCTAAGGAGATCAGATTTAGGATAATCCAGTGGAAAAACGGGGAAATCAAAGGAAAGTAAGTTGGAGAAACAGGAAATTTCAAAACTGTAGATCTAAAATTATAGAAAAAATGCGACTCCTAACAACCACCTGGAAGACCAGGGCCAATCGCATTTCACCCCTCGCCCCTACCACTCAGCTCTACCCCTGTTTTGCGTGTTCACCCCTAGGGGTAGGGTGTCCTGATTTTTGTTGAGATAGAGGGGTGGGGCGAAGTGTCGGGGCTACATGACCCTCCAAACAGAGGTTTTCCAGAGACTCCAAACAGAGAGTTATGAGAAAAAAAGAAAAACCGGCAAGACGGCTGAACAAGAGACCAAAGAAACACACAAATGTGAGAATTTTCTCAGTTAAAAAATTCCAATAATCACTTTATTATCTTAATTTGTCGTTTCAGTGTATTATGGTCCTTTTCTTTATAACAAGCATAAAAATCACTAGTAGTTTGCTGATCTCCTGGTGGCCTTAGCTAAATTTCCCGTTCCACCTACAATGCTGCAGGAGTTACATTCTGGCACCTCAGAACTGCTGCTTAGTTTAAGGTGGAAAGGAAACTTTGAACAAGAAGCTGGTGAATATCTGACTTCAGCTTCATATCACTGAAGAATTTGGGGTGGGTGATAATAAATAATTGCCCCCCTCTTTGAAGGCATATGATTCCCTAAATGTAACTAAAGCCCAGCAGTGAGGAGCTGAACTTTACCCTCCTCTGCTGTCACTGCAGACTGGCAGTGTCGCCTACAGAGCAGCGCTGGTAGCTGTTAATGAAGTAAAGCTCTTATTATTTGAGGGTCTCATTTCATAGGGAAGATTTCAACCACTACCCTGTAACTCAGTTCCAAGATAACCCTTCGAAAACAAGGGGTAGGGGTGAAAATAAGAAATGGGACTGGGCCCTGGTCGACACCAACACTGTCCCCATCAGATAAACAGCACTTAAAGCTTTCATCTTTGAGAGAGAGGAGAAAATCAAGCTGCTTCAAAGAAGCTGAACAATGGACTGACCACCCCAGAGTCCAGACCTCAACACCACTGAATGTGTTTGATTACTTCATAAAATGCAACCAACTTCTAAGACTGAACTTTGGAGGTGTGTCTGCAGATTCTTTGAGGAGCTGAAAGTGAGTCTCCTGAAAAGAATGGAAGCTGTGATAAAGGTAAAGAGTGACTCACTGAACACTTATATAAATAATCTGTTTTGACTGGACGTTATATAAATGAAGGCCGGTCTCAGACTTGGTTCCGTTGTACGCTGAAGGTGTATACGTTGCATAAATGTTTGAAACGTTTGAAGAATGGTTCGTATTCTGAATGCTAATTAACCTGTAACTCCTTGTCTTCTCTCCTGGCTGATGACAGAGTGCAGTGAACACTTTAACATGCCTTGCATGGTTCTGGTATGCGAGGTATGAGCTTTGCAGGCACCGTGTCCTCTCGTCCGTTCTTTCAGAGTGCAAATTTCTGTCCGCACTGACAAACGCAATCTGTTAGAGCTTCGAACTGAAGCGGATCTGGTCTAAATCTTCTCACAGCGACTCGGCCAAAGCACACACACCGAGTTTCTTTTGCGGGTGTGTCGCGCTTGGTTTCAAATGGACCATATTTTACTTTTTTGTTTTAATGAAGCATTAGATATGTTGGTTCCTCTTTTAGTTTTCTGGATTGTCTTTTATTTTTTCGCTCTTTGTTCATCATCACTATTAGCTTATTTAGCTTCCCTTTGGATCCTATAAAGCCTGTTATAGTTAGACTTCCCTGCATTCTTCATCTTTTTTGAATGTGATTAAATGTCTTATTAACCAAAGCGACAGAATGAATCTGTGTAAAAGTTATTCCCAGCCTGCCGCTCCTACTGGCCTGTCTGTGCCTCCAGTTTGGTTTACTCATGAGCCAAAATCCCTTCAGCAAACAGTTAACACCCCATTAAAAGACGCTTTCACTAATTGACGGTAATTAGAACAGCTGTCAGGGATGTTTGCTTTAAATGAGCATGTGTATTGGCCCGCAGCTTTGTTGATCTGATGTTTTACAGCTAACCTCACTTTTGTCCTGCAGGGTGTTTTTCTATTTAAAGGGGAAGCCGCAATTTGGTGGAGGCCTTGCAGCAGATGCACAAAAGGACAAACAACCATCACCAACTCTTAGAAAACACTGATTAAGGTAACACTTTATTTGGATAGTCCATTTTAGATGCTTTGTAGATACTTAATCTACTTTCAAGTTACATTCAACTAAATATCTACTAAATTGACCATCATTTTCTTTAACTCTAAACCTGCTCTAATCCTAACCCTAACCTTAACCTCAACCCAAAACCTAAACCCAACCCTCACCCTGGTCCAAATCCTAACCCTAACCCCACCACTGTTTAGAATCAGCCGAGTCTCAACAGTTTGTTACCAATCTGAACATCTGTAGACAGTCTATAGGAAACTATAGTGGACTATCCAAATAAAGTGAGACCCAAAGTTTTCCCAGTATCCTCACCAGACAGGGCGCCATAAAAGATAGGACAGGTCTGATGGTTGAGAGCTGAAAACAAGGTTGTAACTTCCCAAGAATTTCTTTGTATATAAAAAAGAGTCAGTGTTTCTGGCTGCTTGATTGATAAAGAAGTCGTGTATGTTCTTCTAAAGTTCACAGTGATGGGTGAGAAACGTGTCACCAGTAATGAACCTACTCTCACTGTGATAAACAGTCTAGTCGTTTGAGAGTGCTGGTTGCTGCCTTTATATAAATTGCATCAATAGAAGACCAATAAAGACTGCCTCAGTAATGCTTCCTGCTCTTAAAGCCAAGATAATGTCTACATCTATAAAGAAACCTCAGTTTTGTTCTTCTTTTTGTGCAAGTTTTCTTGGATTTGAGTGCATTCAGCACTGTTGGATGGTCAGTTCTGGGTCACTCTGACTCATCCCAAAGGTATTGGATGGAGCTTCATCACTGGAGAATGCAGCTCCACTGCTCCACAGCCCAATGCTGGGGGGCTTTATACACCTAGCCATGCATTAATCAACTTTTCGGTTTCAACCATCCACCTCATTAATCATCTCACCAAATCCTGAGGTGTTTACAAACTGATACACATTAATTATGTTGTCTGTAAAGGTGCAGACTTGGATAATCACCAGTAAGAGAGTTGGAAAAATGACACATTCCTTAAATCACTTTTGCAATTATAAGAATTTAAGTGATCAATATTAAATAATCAAGAGTTTTTTGTAACTCTTGCTTGCTTTAGGGACAAAGTGCAGTAACAGTGTTGATCTACATAAAGACATATCTTGCATTCTTACACTTTCTCTCCAATCATATATAAAGAGAACAACAAAGGTCCTAGAACAGAGCCCTGGGGCACACCTTTAGCATTAGCTTGAAACTGCTGGAATCCCATCAGCAGTGACACACTGACTTGCTGTAAGATTATGAAACAGGCCTTCTGCTCGAATTCAATACTTAATAGTGTGCTCGGTAATAAGAATCGATCCAGGGTATTGATCGATTTAGAGAAGGTCAATAAACGAGGCAATGCAGTTGAGAATGGGGTATGTATGTCCACCTATAAAAAAGCCTATCTTTAGGATGGCTCTTAATACATTAAGAATTTTTTGGCAAAGAAAGGCTTGATTGCTAATTGCTGGTTTGTGTTGGAGGTTTGGACACTAACACTGCTCCAAGCAGGAAAAGTGGCTAAAGCGTTTACGCACGCAGCCCACAGGCTGAGGGGAGGAGGCTCGCGAGCTGAAAGCACCGGGCATGCCCCCCTCCTCCACCTCCACCTCTAACCTCCAACCACCAACCCCCAAACCACCCCTCCACCCCTCCTGCTTTTTGTGCTCGAGGTGGAGCGCGCGGTGATCTCACTTTCCTCGGTGCGCACCAGCGGAGAGGAGCGCAGTCACGGAGCGAGGAGAGACACGAGGCTGTTTTGCGTCACTGTTTCATCGCGGGGGGTTAAAACTGTTGTTGTTTTTTTCTTCCCTTCTTTCTTTTGCGGGTGAGGAGTGAAAGCGATGACCTCTTTTCTCCTTTTTGGTGACGCAAGAGCGCGGAGATAGTTGGGAAAGTTTTTTTTTCCTGCTCTCTCTGTTGGCAGGGCGCTCTGTGCGCTTTGCGTCTCCATGCGCGCGCTATAAAGAGCCTCTCTCTATCGCCATATCGGCTTATCGATCACCGGGATTGCTTTTTTTTTGTCTTGGAAAGGAGAGAAAAGGGAGGTCGTGCCTGAAATGTTTTCTCACCAGACCCTCCTGTGCCTGCTGGCCTCGCTCAGCCTGCTGGGCGTCCGGCGCGCCGCCGCCGCCTCGTGCGAGCCCGTGCGCATCCCCATGTGCGGCTCCATGCCGTGGAACATGACCAAAATGCCCAACCACCTGCACCACAGCACGCAGGCCAACGCCGTCCTGGCCATCGAGCAGTTCGAGGGCCTGCTGGGCACGCAGTGCAGCCCCGACCTGCTCTTCTTCCTCTGCGCCATGTACGCGCCCATCTGCACCATCGACTTCCAGCACGACCCCATCAAGCCCTGCAAGGCCGTGTGCGAGCGCGCCAAGTGCGGCTGCGAGCCCGTCATGAAGCGCTACAACCACACCTGGCCCGAGAGCCTGGCCTGCGAGGAGCTGCCCGTCTACGACCGGGGCGTGTGCATCTCACCTGAGGCCATAGTCAAAGCGGAGGGACCGGGTAGGAACTCACTCAGCACCAGTATATATAAATATGTTAAAAGTAGCAGTACCTTGTTAAACAGCCTATGCAAAAGTTTGAACACCCCTGGTCAAATTACATCATCTACCACGTAAATATTTGTGCACAAATTCTGTTTATTCGCTGAATTTAACATATTGGGGGAAAAAGAAAACGTGCCAAAACTTTTGCACAGGCTACATTGTTTTTTTACATTTTATTATTTTTTTTTTTTCCAACATATGCAGAAGTGTGTTCTCTGTAGAAGGTGTGTTCACTTATTTACACTCAACAGAATGTGGAATTTGACCATGGGTGCCAAAACCTTTGCACAAGACTTACTTAGTGTAGTGGCAGTGAAATTAACGTGTTTTTTTTTTTCTTGATCTTCTTATGTGTGATTATATAAGTCCTCCTTCTTCTTCTTCTCATTATTATTATTATTATTATTATTATTATTATTATTATTATTATTAATATAAGTACTGTATTTATATTGCTGTTGCTAAGGCAGTAGCCTAAGCACAACTAACAATAACATTACCTTTTATATTGCATTTTTTATCATCATTATTATTAGTGGTAGCAGTAATAGTACACTCTTTAGAAAACCTGGTTCTTCAAGATGGTTCTGTATAGAACCATGAACTGCATGATTAAAGAGTTCTTTGCATCATGAAAGCGTTCGTCAGATTGATGTAGAATGTGCTGTACGTGGTTCTCTGTAGTACCTTTTTGAAAAGGGTTCTATATAGCACCAAGAAGGGTTCTTCTATGGTTATGATGTCAAGCTGGTCACAATAGCCGAACCCTTTTTAGTGCTATATAGAACCCTTTCTGCTGCTATGTGGAACATGTACAACACATTCTCCATCAAAGACTCTTTAATCATGCAAAGGGGTGTTTATGGTTCTATATAGATCCATTTTCTTTACTAAAGAACCCCCGAAGAACCTTTTTTAAAGCGTGTAGTGCTAGTTCTTGTAGCAGTAGTATTCATATGTTATTAGTATGTCAGAAGCATTAGTGCTTATACATTGTTAGTATTATTAAGCATTCTTCTTGTTATTATTATTATTATTATTATTATTAGTTGTAATGTTATTATAATCCAAGTAAAGCTGAGATTTGGTGTTTTATAGATAATCCCATTCAAGACCCTTCAAAATGTAACCCCGGTAAGACACTGCAGTTCTCTCTCCTCTCAGTATTTCGTCTGGGGTTTTTTCTTCTGTCCGGTTTGAGATGTGATAGAGTGATGAAATGAGGCTCTCTCTGCGTGAAGAGAAATAAGAGGTGGTGGTGGTCGGGGGGCGGTGGAGGGGGGTGTTGGGGGTAGGTGTGGGGGAGGGCTGGGTCGAATTTGCCAAAATCAACACGGCGCAGGGATGTTCATAACCCAGAAAAAGCGTAAGCCGATCTCAGCCCCGCAGGTTTAGATAAACTGGGTTCCGTGTTTGGGGGTTAAATAGTCCGAGTTCTCGCGGGTGAAACTCTAAACTCACTTCTCGTCCGTTACAGAGTCGAACCCAGACTTCCCCATGGACTCCCACAACGGAAACTGTAAAGGAGTCAGTGGTACTTTGCACAGTTTCTACTCTTCATTCTTCATCAGCTTTACTGTTTGGGCTCTGAGTGCATGTTAGAGTTCCCCTCTGAGTTACGTAACATACGAGTCCCAGGCAGGAGGGTGTAGTGTGATGCTGCATGAGGAACAGATTTTACAGTGTATCCAGTTATAAAGAGGCTTATATATGTGAGTTTGGGCGCCCCTGGTCTTAGGACATGTTTTGAAGTGAAGATGAGTGAACACATCCTCTACAGAGACTTCTGTACATTTTAATACACAGTCACTGTTTATTTGCTGAGCTTAACATGTTGGAATGAAATGAGAACTAATGCAGCAATCGTGCACATTTGCAGATGCCATGATTAAGTGTGTTGCCTGTAGAGGACATGTTAAATTAAAATGAGAAAAGGAACAACATTTCATTTGACCAGGGGTGTTCAAACCCCTATATATATATATATACACACACACCTACATATATATATATATATATATATATATATATATATATATATATATATATATATATATATATATATTGCTCCAAAACAATAACTTTACAGGAAAAGGAGAAAATATACTTTGCTTTTAATGTAAGTCAATGGAACCGGACTTTTTTGCAAGTAATTTTGGGCCGCCTCTTTGGGTCCATTCATCATGAAATTTTGGCATAATGTACAGGGCAACAGGAATTTTCAAATTATGTCAAAAACTGGAAAAGGACAAAAATGGAGATATGAGGTTTTATTTATAATATATTTATAATATATTTTATTTATATATATAAAAAAAAAATATGTAGCTGCTGTCGGAACTAAACCTCATATTTCCATTTTTGTTGAGAAACGGCCCAAAATTACTTGGAATACATTCTGGTTCCATTGACTTACATTTAAAGTATGTTTGTCATTGGAGATATGAGGCTTTGTTCTGACAGCAACGATATATCTATCTATCTATCTATATATGTATATATATATATATATAGAGAGAGAGAGAGAGAGAGAGATATCAAGCTTCTTTAATCAGTGGGTAGAGGTAGAGAGTGACTCTTAAAATGCTTAATAGCTATTAATACATAGAAATAAATATTTGATAGCTGGTATTAGTTCAGTCTGACTGTGGATGTAGATTGTATGTGTTCAGTTTGATTGAAAGCACATGTGTTTTATTTTCAGACCGCTGCAAGTGCAAGGCAGTAAAACCTGCCCAGAAGACCTACTTAAAGAAGAATTATAATTATGGTGAGTCTTCAGGCTGCGTGTAATGTAAGGAGGTGAATTAGCGAGTGTAAACACAAGAGTCTAAACATAAATTGTTACAACTTAATTAATTTTGTGTAAACCTTTAAAGTCTGAGGGTCTGTTTGTGGGTCCACACTTCAGCTCCTCACTCTCCTAGCAGAACTTACACATTAGGTTCATACGAGAGACTGAATGATTCATAATAGATACTATGAATCATAATAATAATGTGTAGTAGTTGCTGACTTAATGCTTAATAGTACTTAGTGAGTAATTCCTGGTAGTTACTAAGTAATCAGTAATAGACACTGTAAGTCGTACGATGAGTGTGCAGTGTAAGTGAGTAAACTCTCTCTGTAGTCATACGTGCCCGAGTGAAGGAGATAAAGACCCGCAATCACGACCTCAGTGCTATCGTGGAGGTGAAAGACGTCCTGAAGTCATCTCTGGTCAACATTCCTCGGGACACGGTCACTCTGCACTACAACTCGGGCTGCCCCTGCCCCCCCCTCACCGCTAACGAGGAATATATCATCATGGGCTACGAGAACGAGGAACGCTCCAGGTAATGTTAGCTTTAACTTCTCTAGGCATGTTTAGGGCTTAAAATAAGAACAATCCAATTTTTCTTTTTTTAGTTTTAAATTTGAGAATTTTGTTTTGGCCAAGAAATAAGTGCAAAATGTTATTATTATAGACTTGTATTATAGAATATGTGTATATTAATGTGTATTAATGTGGATGTTTAGAATGTGTGTGTGTGTGTGTGTGTGTGTATGTATATATATATATATATATATATATATATATATATATTTTTTTTTAAATATAATTTATATATGTATATATATATATATATATATATATATATATATATATATTTGTATTTAAGTACTACTAGGGTTGTGATTTGAACATAAAATCACCCACCACCTTCAGATCAGGACACATGGATGCATTTTTACACTTATTATTATTATTATTATCATTATTATTATTATTATTATTACTCTTTTACAGATTGCTGCTCATCGATGGCTCTATTGCACAGAAGTGGAGGGATCGGTTAGGAAACAAAGTGAAGGTACCACAGAGCACACAGAGACGCGTCACGTTAAATTTATGTAAAGTGATCAGTGTCTTTAAGCCCAAAGTGAGGACTGTCCAGTAGCAGTGTCCCTCGTCTGTCCTCCTGTTAGACAGGCTTGACATTTGGTGTAAGTTATCCGGCTAACTGAGAAATCCTGACGGTGCAGCGGTTCACTTAAACATATGGCACTGAGACCAAAGCTGCACATCAGCTGGATAAACGATGGCCTTTTTGAGGGTGAAGTAGCGGTTTCCCTTATCGTGTTTCACCAGCTGTGGCTGAATCTGACCTTTCAGCTCCTCTCTTCAGTTGAAGATTTTACGATTTGAAGAAGTTGATTATGCTGAGGAATCCAGGTTGATCACAGAGCTCCTCCTGACTGACCGTCTCAGATTCTTTTAGGAAACAGTGTTGTTGTGCCCAGTTATGTGCAGAGAGTCGGGCCTAATTCATTTGAGATGCCGAGAGGCCTTGAAAATTGGGTGTGGCCCTAATTTAGACTTCATTCAAACGTTGGTGTTTAAAGCCTCTGTGTCTCAGGAACAAATGAAAATACAGGCTCACAGTTTAACCCACCATCCACTGGGCACAGTAACATTGCTGAAAGTGCTGAAAGTGAGATTGAAAGTGTTTTTTTAAGAAGTCTGGTGACTTGGGGTGTATTTACCTCTACTTCAGTGATGTTATGGTGATATTTGGAGCCTGCGGGGTGGAATGGGAAATTCCACTGCTGGTGACTGTGTTCCTCTGAGTGGGAGAGTTACAGTCTCATAGCTCTGGAGTTGACAGCTTTGTGGTGAGAACTCGGTCTGCATGGACGGAGATGAGGGTCAGCACTAGCTTTTAATGCCAAGCTCTGGCCCTTTTGCCCTCAGATTGTACAAGTGCCCTCTTGGTCTTTGTGTATAATATTTAGCCTCTGTTGTTGTTCTAGATATGTTTCTGGGCACATCTATCTAGGCATTGGCTGTATGTGGGGTCCAAGAAAGTATAAGTGTCTCTCTCTGGGCGGATATTATGGTCATCCCCTTTCCCTGTCACTCATTATCATTGCAGGCATTAACTGAGCTGTCCAATGAGTGAGCAACAGTTTTGTGAAGATGTGGTGGAGCTTCACGTATCTCATAAGAAGCTCATGCTAGTCTTCACCTTCCCAGCTTGGTAGTATTGTGTGACTGGTGAGGGATCTAGCTAGTAGGCCATATATATATATATATATATATATATATATCCCTTCCCGATTTCTTCTGTTTTTGCATATTTGTCACATGTAAATGTTTCAGATCATAAAACTATGTTTAATATTAGACAAAGGTAACCCAGGTAAAGATAACGTGTTTTTTAAGTGATAATTTCTTTTATTGAATACAAAAATGGTGTTCAGCCCTATCTAGCCTCATGTGAAAAAGTAATTGCCCCCATAGTTAGCAAATCAACCAGTTAGCTGAATTCAATGGACTGTTGGGTTCAGTTTCATTAGCCACACCCAGCCATGATTACTGCCAACATCACTTAAAAAGAACCTGTCTGGCAACATGAAGCAGCCTAGAAGGTCTCAAACAGCAGCACGTGATGCCACATTCTCAAAAGATTCAAATTCAGCTGCCAAACAAAGTCATTGAAATCTACCAGCCTGGAAAAGGTTGCAAAGCCATTGCTGAGGCTTTGGGACTCCAGTGAACCACAGTGAGAGCCTTTATCCACAAACGGAAAAAAAAACTTGGAACAGTGGTGAACCTTCCCAGGAGTGGCCGGCTTAGAAAAATTTCACCAAGAGCAAATCGATGACTCATCCAGGAGGTCACAAAAGAACCCAGACGAATATCTAAAGAACTGCAGGCCTCATTTTCTTCAGTTAAGGGTCTATGTACGTGATTCCCCAATAAGAAAGACACTGGGCAAAAATGGCATCCATGTGAGAGCTGCAAAGCGTAAACATCTGCTGACCAAAAAGAACATGAACTTGTCTTGCATTTGCCAAAATACATCTAGTTGTCCCCCAAGACTTTTGGGATTATATTCTGTTTACTGATGAGTCACAGGTGGAACTTTTTGGAAGACATGGGTCGCGTTACATCTGGCGTAAAGCCAACACTGCATTCCACCATAAGAACATCATACCAACAGTAAAACATGGTGGTGGTAGTGTGATGGTCTGGGGCTGCTTTGCTTCTGCAGATCTGGACTTTGTAATTGATGGAACCATGAATTCTGCTCTCCATCACAAAATCCTGGAAGAGAGTGTCAGTTTGTGACCTAAAGCTCAAGCATAGTTGGGTTATACTGCAGGATGATGATCTAAAGCACACAAGTGAGTCCATCTCTGAATGACTCAAAAGAAACAAAATGAAGGTTTTGTAGTGGCCGAGTCAAAGTCCTGACTTGAATCCCATTGAGATGCTATGGCAAGACCTTAAATGGGCAGTTCATGCTCAAAAAGCCTCCAGTGTAGCTGAATTAAAACAATTCTGCAAAGAATAGTGGGCCAGAATTCCTCCACTGCGATGTAAAGGACTCATCGCAAGTTATCACAAACGTTTGATTGCAGTTGTTTCTGCCAAGGGAGGCACAACCTGTTATCAGGTTTAGGGGGCAGTTACTTTTTCATGTGGGTGATTTAGGTTTTGAAGAAACATTTATCTTCAATAAATGGAATGATCATTTAAAAGCTACATTTTGTGTTTGCCTCATCTTATATTAAAATTAGTTGGACCATCTGAAACATTTAAATGTGACAAATAAGCAAAAATAGAAGAAATTGGATGAGGGCAAATACTTTTTCACAGCACTGTGTGTATATATATATATATATATATATATATATATATATATATATATATATATATATATATATATAGGTATATCTTGAAGACTGTCATAGCAGCATGAACCTCTTAAACTGATTTATGTTGTAAGTTATATTAAACTTTCACGTTCAGGTCAGAGGCATTGCTATGGGGGGCCTGCAGGGGGCTTGGCCTTCTCACTTGGAAGTTAGGCCCCCTCAGATTTCATACTGGTCCAAAAAGTCATTAATGCCAATGAAAACGCTTCATCTTGAACTCTTAAAGTACAGGATGAACCCAAATCTGCTGTTCTTGCTTTCTCATGCATTTTTATTCACCTTGAAGAAATAAACGTGACCACCAAAACCCATCATCACCAGTTTTTTTAAATTAGGCGTTTTTTTGATTCCTACATGTAAACGCAGCAGTACTGAGCTCAACTGACATCTGTGTCTCCAGCTGAAAAAAGGTGCTTTGTTAGCCAGTCCCCACCACGGGTTGCCACCCTCCTAGGATTTTCCTGGATCGTCCTGGATTTTGGTTATCTGTCTTGGAAGAAATGAATTCCATACCTGGACCGAAATGTCCCGGAATTAAAGCATTTTCATATGTTAGCATGTCTTCTTTCTTTTAAAGTTAAACTGCTTATTTTTATCCAATTAAACAATGTGTATAAAACACTGGGTCTGATTGGTTCAGATTAGCCCAATATACAGTGACAGGTGTTTGAAAAGATGCACTGTTGGTTACATATTTAGGCTCTAGGCAGCACTATAGTGTGATACCTGAGAAGATGAGGTCACTGACATCTGTCTACCTTGGATTGCATTGTAAGCACAGCTACCCATCACCTGGACTTAGTAGACAAAGGCCCAATCCCATTTCACCCCTCACCCCTACCACTTAGCCCTTAGCCCTCCATTTTGCACATTCACGTCTAGGGGTAGGGTGTCCCGATTCTTGTTGAGATAGAAGGGTAGGGCGAAGTGTTGGGGCTACATGACCCTCCAAATGGAGGTTTTTCATAGACTCCAAACAGAGAGTTATGAGAAGAAAAGAAAAACCACCAAGATGGAGAACAAGAGACCAAAGAAACCCACAAATGTGAAAATTTACTTGTTAAAAAATCACGATTAGTTTAATGTCGTTTCAGTGTATTATGGTCGTTTCTTCATAACAAGCATAAAAAATCGCTAGTAGCATGCTGATGTCTCGGTAGCTCGCTAGATAAATTTCCTGTTCCACCTTAAATAGTCCAGCAGTTCTGACGCCTGAAGCGCCAGAATGTAACTGCTGCACTGTTTAAGGTGGAACAGGAAAATTCGAACAAGCAGCTGGTGAACATCTGACTTCAGCTTCATACCACCAGAGAATTGTGATAATAAATAATTGCCCCCCTCTTTGAAGTCATATGATGCCCTAAATGTAACTAAAGCCCAGCAGTGAGGAGCTGAACTTTACCCTCCTCTGCTGTCACTGCAGACTGGCAGGGTCACCTACAGAGCAGCGCTAGTAGCTGTTAATGAAGTGATGCTGTTTTTATTTGAGGGTCCCATTTCAGAGGGAAGATTTCAAACACTACCCTGTAACTCAGCTCCAAGGGGCAAGATGACCCTCAAAAACAAGGGGTAGGGGTGAAAATAAGAAATGGGACTGGGCCAAAATGTAGAGGGTGGAGATGGCAGCCCTGCTGTCAGTTACAGTGCAGTTAAATGCGAGGTCAGTAATCATGTGTTCTGTTGTGCTTAAAATTTCGTTTTTATTGTTTGCTTAGCTTCAAAGAAGTAGGATAGCTGGCTAGCGATGTCTCTGGGACATAATGCTTCGTAGTTGGTCCCTGCAGTCTATTACCAGTAATGTGAAGTAGTGTGAAATGGTAATGTGACATTATTTAAGGATTGGTCTTTCTTACTTTGACCAAAATAGTCCACTTGTGTTGGATTTCATGACTGTGTTGATTCATCAAAACACCAAGAGAAACTCATCTGGAACCTGGTTGGTCTGCATGTTTGTAGCAGACAGTACAGAGCACTGTGCTCGGGTAAAGGGCTGACATGCGTATCGCAGCCTTGTGTAGTTTCAGTCTTCATTAACAAGCCATTTACTGTGCATCACTGCCGTGATGATTAATCAGTGACAGTGTTTGTTCTCAGGCAGCCTGACGTTTATGATGAGAGAAATCAATATCAGTTTATTGATTGTTGTTCCAATACTTTATTCAATGATTATTCAGGGCCGGCACAGCCTTTTAGGGACCCTAAGCAGGATTTTTTGAGGGTTAGTTGACATACTGAAAAATGAAAGGCTTACTAATAACAGTGTCTACCACAAGCTAAATGATATACATTTATAATTGGATAATTTGTGTATTGCTGATGATTGGGTGCACGTCTGGGGATTAATAAGTTACGGCTGAAGTTATAGATATCCTTCTCTGTATTCTGGATCCATCCTCGTCTTAGTTGTGATTGGCTGTTTGTCATAAACGTCACGTTTTGTGTGCATGCTTGGATACTACTGTATCAACCACAGCCTGAGTATCTAAGCCTGGATTAACAGAGAAAGCTGTTAATTGCTGTTACTGTTGTTATTTGAGTTAACTGTGTGTTTGATATCTCATAAAGCCCGTCCAAGTTGAACCTGCTTCATTAGACAGATCCGCTACATCTTGCCTCTTGTTGTCCAACTACAAGACCGAACAAATATCACAATGTTACCACTACAAAAAAAACATACCTTTATCTTTAAGCTTTTTCTTCTCATCTTCTCTGTGTTTTTCTGATTTTTGTTGTCGTATCAAAATGCAGAAGATCTTTTTGGAGGCACAATTAATTGCTTTTGCAGTTGCTATTTTTCAGTCACTTGAGCCATTGGACAACATAATGGTACAGTAATAACGCAGTAGTTCTTAGGTGGCCCCCTGGTGGCCACAGGGCCCTAAGCAGCCGATTATGTTGTTTATTAGTTAGAGTCGGCTCTGTGAATATTGTTCAGTTTAGTTCAGTTCAGTAGACACAAAGCAATAAATCAAGCACCATAACCTTTGTTTCATTTCTATTTTTACGCTACTCCCATTTCCATGGTTAAACTACTGCCATTTCCATGGTTACGCTACAACTATTTCCATGGTTACACTACAACTATTTCCATGGTTACACTACAACTATTTCCATGGTCACACTACTCCCATTTCCATGGTTACGCTACAGCTATTTCCATAGTTACACTACTCCCATTTCCATGGTTACACTACAGCTATTTCCATGGTTACACTACTCCCATTTCCATGGTTTCACAGCTTCCATTTCCATGGTAACTATTTCCATCCCTCCCTCGCCCACACATTTGTCAAAGAAGCAGTGTGTAAGATTTAGTGACATCTAGTGGTGAGGGTGCAGATTGCAACTAGCTGAATCCTCCTCCCTCACCCCTCCTTTTCCAAGCGTGTAGTAGAACCTATGGTGGCTGTCAGGTTTTCTGCTGTCGCCTGTCCTGATTTCGTTTGGCTTCTTCATGTTTTCACTTCTTTGACGACAAGGATTCACCCTCACACGCTTTTTTTGTGGTAAATAATAAGTATGAGCTTCTGTTTGTCAAAATTTGGGTTCTTGAACTTTTCACAACACAAAATGGTTAGATAGCACCGGCGGGACTATAGCACCGCCAAATTCAAGCTGCCGCTTCAAATGTAGAAACATGAAAGGCGCTCTCTAGAGCCAGTGTTTGATTGGTCCGTTCTGGGCTACTGTAGAAATATGGTGGCCTCTGGTGGAAGAGGACCCACTCTTTGAAGAGCTTGTTCTAAGCTACCAAAAACACAATGCTTTGTAGTTACAGGTGATTGTACACTGATGAAAACATGGTTTTGATTAATATATTCCATTTCTGCTGATGGAACCCCTTAAAACTACACACTGCATGTTTAACACTCTGCTTGTGTATCATGTCTGTGAGTGACGCAGTTTTGTTGCTGTTGTTTTTTTCCAGCGCTGGGAGACGCTCCGAAGTTCTCGCCGCCACTAACCTGACCACACACTTTCTCACACGGACAAACCCCAAACACCAGGAAGTACCCCAGAAAACTGAAAAAATTGCACTATTGGACGTTCTTCTCAAATGTTGTCAAGTTGGAAGAGTTGTAGCAGAGATTTGTTTTGTTAGTTGTTGCCTTTTATGATAATGTTTTTATATTCTCTCTTTTTTGTTGTTTGCATTTGCACAAACAAAATGTTCAGTCGACATTGCTGTGTGTGTGTGTGTGTGTGTGTGTGTGTGTGTGTGTGTGTGTGCGTGTGTGTGTGTGTGTGTGTGTGTGTGTGTGTGTGTATGTGTGTGTGTGTGTGTACTTATTTTGGATGGGTGTATGTGGGGAGATTAAGGGTCATCTGAGGCTTCTTGAAAAAGGAAACATCAAGGAATTAAAGTGAAAAAATATCATGAAGGAGTTTAAAGCGATAGTTCTGTGAAAAGTCAGATTTCTTCAGTTTTCCACATGCAGTTAATCAGTAAAGGCATCTTTGGTGTCAGAAGTGGGCTTCTTCAGTTTTGTACTGGAGCTGCAAGGCTAATTTTTTCCATGTCTATAGATAATAGTGTGTCATACAGTGTCAGAAATAGAGCTGAACGATTAACTGTTTTTATATCAAAAATGTTTTTATATCAAAATTTGAAAGAGTGCAATTTTCAAATTGCAAGAGCTGCAGTTTTTTATTATAGTCTTACACGACTGCTGTTTCCATGGTTACACCACTCCCATTTCCATGGTTACACTACTCCCATTTCCATAGTTACACAGCTTCCATTTCCACAGTTACGCTGTAAATATTTCCAGGCATGAACAGCTTGTGTGATGATTTAGGCATGCAGTCTATTGTCAACAATGTTGTCACTATGCAAGTTTTAAGTAGGCAAATTTTAACTGATAACATGGAGCTTGTGAACTGCTGTGATATCACAACCACAAATAACTGGCAAGCTGGTACTTTGTGTTAACAGTTCAAGCCTTAAACCAGGAAAAAATATACACTGGTCTTCTTAGCCAAAAAAAAAGGTCCATAGCTCAATTTATATCTCAGTTATAAACAATTGCAATTTAAATCGTAAATGCAATATTGGTCAGAAAAATTGCAATGAGCTTCCATTATTTGTAGCTACATTAGCCTCGTAGCTCCAGTACTAAACTTACAGAAGCGAACATGTCTCGGACATTTGAGGGGAAAAATCAGTTTTATTCAGTTTTCCACATGAAGTTAATCAGTAAAGGCATCTTTGGTGTCAGAAGTGGGCTTCATCAGTTTTGTATTGGAGTTGCAGGGCTAATTTTTTACATGTCTGTAGATAAAAGTGTGTCATACACTGTCGGAAACAGAGCCGAACGATTGTTTTTATATCAAAATCAAAATTTGAAAGAGTGCAATTTTCAAATTGCAAGAGCTGCAGTTTTTATTATAGTCATACACAACTGCTATTAGTTTCCATGGTTACACCACTCCCATTTCCCCATGGTTCCATTATTTGTAGCTACATTAGCCTCGTAGCTCCAGTACTAAAATTAAAGAAGCAAACTTCAGACACCAAACGTGTCTCAGACATTTGAGAGGAAAATTTGATTCATCTCTAAACTATCACTTTAACTGGAGCGGCTGATAGTGATCCAGCAGCGGTGGGAAGAGAAAGCGGAGTGTTTGGACTCGACTCCATCAGGCTTTCACGCTTTCAAAGGAGTGGAAGGCGCAGCTACATCAGCAGCTGCAGCTGTGCCGAGTTTTTATCCGCTGGATTAAACATTCTTCAAAGGAAAAACGACGAACGGAGGGGGGGGAGCATCTTTTGGCAGGAGACACAAAGAGAACGGAGGAAGATCCAGTGCTGGGAGTGAAATGTTATTGAGGACAACAAAAACAAATGTTGAGCTTTATTGAACCTTCATTTAAAAGGAACTCTCTCTTTTTTTCCTGCATAATATTTCTTAGTCCTGTTTTTTTTTTTCTTTAACACATGTTCAGTACGCTTGATCGTAAGCCATTCCTAGGGAGCTGTTTATGTAAGAATGCATACTGAGTGGCATGCAAACTTTGGTTAATTGAAACAGCTGTTGTTGTTTTAAAGCAGTGTTTTTACTGGACTGATCAGTGCTAGATGACTGGACACTGCGCCAAGCCCACTTCAGACCATTACTCACTCTGTCTGTTATCACATTTACATCCACTATTAAACATATCTGCCTGGATAAGTGACTGAGTTACAGAGGTTTGTCTGTGTGCTGTGGGGCCTGAAGCACAGTGAGTGCTGTTCAGAGTCAGAGTCAGGTCAGATTTATATAAACATCCCCTCAGAGCCGCTCCCTGCACTACCGCACACAGGGAAAGAGCAGAGGGCCTGTTCCCTAATCAAGCACCTTGAAGACCACTGGAGCTGGTATAGTACCTGCACACACTGCAGATTCATACTGGATTAAAATCGCTCCACAATTATTACTGTCAGACTAAAACTACACACACTGCAGATTCATACTGGATTAAAATCGCTCCACAATTATTACAGTCAGACCGTAAAACTACACACACTGCAGATTCATACTGGATTAAAATCGCTCCACAATTATTACTGTCAGACTGTAAAACTACACACACTGCAGATTCATACTGGATTAAAATCGCTCCACAATTATTACTGTCAGACTAAAACTACACACACTGCAGATTCATACTGGATTAAAATCGCTCCACAATTATTACTCTTAGACTGTAAAACTACACACACTGCAGATTCATACTGGATTAAAATCGCTCCACAATTATTACAGTCAGACTGTAAAACTACACACTGCAGATTCATACTGGATTAAAATCGCTCCACAATTATTACTGTCAGACTGTAAAACTACACACTGCAGATTCATACTGGATTAAAATCGCTCCACAATTATTACCGTCAGACTGTAAAACTACACACACTGCAGATTCATACTGGATTAAAATCACGTATCTCATCAGTAATTAGTTGTAGCACCTCCCCAGGGTAAACAAATCAAACTCAAATAGGGGTTTATACACAATCTATCTTTCAACTTATGTCAGAAAAGTGAAGAAACTTGTTTGTCCTTGATTCGGGCCCTTTAACCACTTTCAGTGCTGTCTAAACAACATTTTCCTTTCATTTATTCCTCCTGTATTTATCTCCTCTGTATTTCCCACGACCTGCGGAAGAGCGTGTGACGCCACAGCCATCGAGCTGCGGGTTTAACGCTTCGTATTTACCAGCCCAGAGAGAGATGGAGCTCGGAAATTACTCCCGACCTGATTTATGTGCCAGGGGAGTCAGCACAATCATGAGCTGGGGAGTTTATGGGAGAATTAACACAAAACGGAGGATTTACAGGGACAAATTGACCCGCCTGCCTCGGCCCACAGCTCCCCTGGTAAAGGCCGTCAGCCTGTGCTTTACTGCGCCCCGACACGCCGAATCAAACGCCTCTGCCATCAATCTGTCCCGCCACCCTTCGCGCTTTTAACTCGCTGAAATTACGCGGCCTGTGGGACCGGTCAAACGACGCGGCGGCAAAGTAAATCTCCTGTTTTTCCTTCCATCAGTGTGAGAGGAGGAGTAAGACTCTCTCTCTCTTTCTCTCGCTCCCTCTCTCTCATCCAACTGCTCTGTTATCAAACTTGAACATCATGCCAGACTTGCAACACTGCAGAGCACAATAAGGTCACTAAAGAGGTCATTAAAGGTTGTACACAGTGTCCTCTTTACTCCAGATGTAGCCAATCAACCAAGATGTTTTTGGTGTCTGATATTTTCTTCTACTTGGAGCTATGAGGCTAATGTTGCCAGCAGATGTTGGAAGCCTGTAGCCCACCAATTAGCACTGTGCTAACAGCATGCCTAAATCAGCACACGCTCGCCTCAGACTTCAAACTGTCATCAATGTTTTGGCCAATCTGTGACTCAGAATGAAGTAATGAAAATAAAGATGAGTCCAGTTTTACAGAAGCAGTGGAGCAGTGGAAGCTCTCAAATCTGAAGCCTGCTTGTAGCAGGTTTAGTCCAGTTCAGCTGTATTTGAGGAGCCCTTTCTGAAATTGTGATGAAATGTAATTTAGTCTATGGCCAGGCTTAAAGGGAATTCCACTGATTTGAGTCATTCAGAGTGGTTTGGTGTGAAATGGTTGATTGTAGAGACTCAGATGTCTTTAGAGTGGTGGTGATAGAAACCAGGGGTCGCCATGACTACAACACAAATATAGACATTTAATTTACTATCCAGAACCACCAGTGAACCTACACGAGTCTTTATATGTAATGCTGATGATGGTAAAATGAGGAAGAACCACTGAGAGGAACCAAGATTCAAAAGGAGAAACTTCCTAAGAACTTGAAGAAGAACCACTGAGAGGAACCAAGACTCAAAAGGAGAAACTTTCTAAGAACTTGAAGAAGAACCACTGAGAGGAACCAAGACTCAAAAGGAGAAACTCCCTAAGAACTTGAAGAAGAACCACTGAGAGGAACCAAGACTCAAAAGGTGAAACTTCCCATTCATTCCTAGGACTATGTCCATGATTACTTTATGGAAGTAAGGTTGCTCGCATGCTTGCGTCGCTAACTTTATCAGCACTTTGGTGAGCAAAAACACTTCTTAAGTAGATTTACAATGTTTTTTAGTCCATTTCATCATCTGTGACATTCATGTAAGCAACCCACACTTTTAGGAAAAAGGGTTCTGTATAGTAACAACAAAGGGTTCTTTGGCTTGTAACAATAGTGGAGCCATTTTGGTGCCATAGAACCTTCTACAGCACATTCTCCATCAATCTGAAGAACCATTTAATCAGTTGACTCTTTGAGTGTTCATAGTTCTATATAGAACCATTTTCTTTACTAAAACACCCTCGAAGAACCGTCCTGTTTAAGAATCTATCTAACCACGTGGCTGATTTCAAGCGATTGTACAGCATCAATGACGCCAGGTAGACCAGCTCACCAGTGGAGACCACCACAGTCACCACACCCAACTTCAGTGCTGATGGGACATTAGAGGTTGACGTTTGCACTAATTGAACACACCTGATTAAACTAATTACTGAAACCCAACACATCTGACTGAGTTCATCAGCAAAGCCCTCACCCAGGGGTGCCAGACTGAGACCCCAGAAGGCCACAGCACTGCAGAGCTCAGTGTTTACCCAGTTCAGCTCATGAATTGGATGTTAAGTTGAATCAGATGTGTTAAATTAGGGAAAATACTCAGTCTGGAGTCTGACACTGCTGTCCTAAGGCCTGGAGCTGGATGAGTTAGAACAGGATCAGGACTAAGCTCAACAGTGTATAACTATATATACAGTAACAACTATATATATATATATATATATGTGTGTGTGTGTGTGTGTGTGTGTGTGTGTAAGATAGTTATGGACCATATGTCCACATATGTTCATAACCAGACTACAGTTAATTTTAGAGATTGCTGTTAAGGATTATGTTGTTTTTCAACATCATTAAATCAGTCTATCATTTTTTAATTTACTGAAGGTGCTGAAGTGTTTTATATCTGTATCACTGAGTGATAGCTACTTGTAAACGGCAAAAAATTGTATCATCACAAGTGAAAATATCTCTACCAAGTCTATATATCTAACATTTCTCATCTTGAGATTGTTGTAGCCTTATTATATGATCATTTTATGTATTTCTAGATTTTTTCTTTGCATGTTTTATGCAATTTTAGTCCAATTATTTCACTCTGTTATTGCCAAAAGATAAACAGCACTTAAAGCTTTCATCTCTGAGAGAGAGGAGAAAATCAAGCTGCTTCAGATCTGAAAACATCCACAGGTGTTTCTGTCCATCCTTCCACTGTGAGAAGACGACTCAGCGCTGTGGGTCTGAAAGGATGTGTAGCTGTCAAGAAGAACCTCACTGAGAAAAGGAGACGGACACATCAAACAAAGAAGCTGAACAATGGACTGACCACCCCAGAGTCCAGACCTCAACACCACTGAATGTGTTTGATTACTTCAGAAAATGATCAACCAGCTTCTAAGACTGAACTTTGGAGGTGTGGAATGAAATTTTGTTACATAAAAATACATTAAAAGTGAAGACGTTTTTTCCTCCTCCAGTATATATATACACTCGCTACTACGAGACCAAGATATATATATATATATATATATACATATATATATATATATATATATATATATATATATATATATATATATATATATATTATTGCCAAAAGATAATAATATATAATATATACCGTTTTGGACATTACATTGACTTACATTAAAAATAAAGTAGGTTTTTTCCTTCTACTGTAAAGTTACCATTTTGGAGATACAAATTTTCATCCAACAACAGCGATATAGTATGTGTGTGAATATATATATATATATATATATATATATATATATATATATATAGTTCTAGTAGCTAATAAGCGTATATTATTTGCTACATTAACATCATCAACATCTCTTAGTCTCGTAGTAGCTTCAGATTCAGACAGTAAACATGTCTTGTCCGATCGACTGCGTTTGGGTTGAGGGGTGAAATCATGTAAATGTGTAATCTGATTTTTTGCTGAAGTCTCACTTTAACACCTGAGGCAGTGTGTGGGGCGGTGAATGAGGAGTTTGTTGTTGCTCGAAACGGTGAGAAAGTGTTTAAAAGAACTTCACACCATGAGGAACTGCTGACAGGAATAAAATGACCCTCTGGGTCTCTCTCCTCGTTTCTGTTCACTTCCTGTTACGCTGTCTATGCCCCCGTGATCAGAAACACATGCTGAGGCGTGTACGAACAGTTTGGGCTGCGGTTCAGATTTCGAGCGGCTGCAGCGGAGCCCAAATCTACAATTGCTCAGTAATGATAAAGGCATGACTGTGGAGTGAGCTTTCATTATTTTCATGTTTCAGGATAGTTTTACTTGAGACTTGTCCTCCTTTTCCTCTCCAGAGTGTCACTCCAGGCTTCACTTTCAAGCAAGTCTCCAATCAAGTGCTTCATTAATCTTGTATTGAGGTTAGATTTCCCTGAAACTGGCTTTTTTCAGTCTGAGAGCTTTGAGAGGCCTTATGGGCTTTCAGAGCACTTGTTAAAAGTGTTGAACACTTGGTAGCATTATTATGGATTTTTTTTTTTAAGTCTCCATGACCCCAAGGTCAAGATCATTATTCTGCGGCTATTTAATCTCTGGTGCAGTTTTGGCTCACTTTTTTAACT